TGGAGATGAAAAGGAATGTCATTCCAGGAATGAAGGATAGCCAGTAAAAAGGCTCCAAGTCTGGAGATGGTGGGTCTTGTGCAAGGAACAACATAGAGGCCAATATCATTGGATCAGCATACAGTGAGCTGCATAAGATGTAAGAAGACTGGAAAGGTAAGAGGGCGAAAGCTATGAAAAACTTTGAACATTAGGCAAATGGTTTTATATTTGGTCCTGGAGGTGATAGGTAGCCATTAGAATTTATTAAGGGGGGGTGAAAAGATGATATGGCCAAATGTGCACTTTCAAATATCACTTTATTAGAAAATAAACAGTCTATGAACTATTGGCCATATTTGGCCAAAAGAGATGATTGGTGACCATCTAGATGGAGAGCAGTGATTTCAAAGAGTCAGCAGGACTTTATCAAGAACAAGTCATGCTGGACTAACCTCATTTATCTTTTTACAAGGTTTCTAAACTAACAGCAGAGGGTAATGTTGTGTTAATAGCTTACCTAGATTTTAGTGAAGCTTTTGACAAAGTATCTCATGCTATTCTTGTGGAAGATGTAGATTAAATAATACAAGCAGAGGTTGGACTATGCTTTGAGAACAACTGATCTACAGAAATCTGAAAGGATTGGGATCCAAGGCTTTAACAGATAAAGCATACATGTCCTAGAACTTCTGGTTTATGGCTAGCCCAAGAATCCCCTAACAGTTCTGCTTCCAGAGGACCCAATGATAAAATATTTGCTCTAAATAAGAAAATACTTGAATGAATTCTCAAGACAGAACCTTTAAAAATAAGCTCCAGGATCCTCAAAATGCCTTAGCTACAAGAAAGAACTTAAGATGCATTCTCCTTCCAGGAGATGGAAATTCTATTCATCTCCCTAGTCCTATCACCTGCTCAGAACCAAGGAGGCTGGCACCATCAATATCTGATTGAGACTGCACAAGCTCCAGAGCTCTTGCTTTCTCAGAAATACACACAGGAGTATTAATAGCCATGCCACTCAATGTGACAAAATCCAAAAGAAAAAGAAATATGCCTTCCAGATTGCAAACAAGTGCAATAAATGCTGACTTCCTCCTTTGCTGTGTTAAATTGGGTGTTCTGAAATTAAGATGCCACTCCTGAGACATGGTAACTGCCTACTTGGTTCACTCTACAAGAATGCCAGCCAAGCTTTCCAGAGAATGGATCTGGGTTGAGTGACATTGTGGGAAGTGGGGTCCAGATTATACAGATGGCAGTAAGTTGCTGCAGCTTGGGGATATCAGTGAACTGACTGAATAATTCTGAATGCTACTGATGGAGCTTGTCTTCTCTAGTCTTATCACTCTCAGAGAGGGGAGTCAGGGAGGTGACATGAGCTTGGCCATGAAAGAAAATGGAGGTTTCAGCAGTTGGAGATTGGTAGGGAATTCATTGCTGTCATGGAGGACACCCTACTGAATACGTGCAGGATAATGGGAATATAGAGCCTGTTCATAGGGGTAATTATATGAAAAAAAAAATCAAAAAATAAACTGGAGACAAATTATAGAGATCTTTTTAGGATGGTCTAAGGAGTTTATAGTTTATCCTCAAGGTAGAGTGGCACTAAAGATTTTTGAACAGGACAGTGACATGGCCAGACCTATATATTTAGGAAGACTATTTTGGCAGCCATATGAAGGGATGATTAGAAAGGGAAAGAGATGGGCTATAGAAAGGCCAGCAAGAGCTTGCCACTGGAGTTTAGTGAGTGGGGTACGTGGGATGTGACCAGCATTTTAGGAAAATCTGCATGGAAGTAATGCCCATGTGAACTTCCAGGCAAGTTCCTAGGCTAGAGGACCTGAATCTGGATGATGGCTGTGTGACTGGAAAGGAAAGGTATGGGACAGGTTTTTGGGTAGATTTCAAGCCAATCCAGTTCACTAAATATTTATTATCCACTTGCGTTCCAAGTGCTGTGCTAGACACCTCACAAACAAAAATAGGCAAACGAAAATCTCTCAAGGAGCTACCATCTAATAGAAGAGTCAACATGTAAACAACTATGGACAAACAAGCTATATGCAAGATAAATAGGAGGTAATCCACAAAGGAAAGGCACTCACATTCAGAGGGATTTGGAAAAGCTTTTTATAGGAGGTGGGATTTGAAAGAAGTCAAGGAGGGCAGAAAACAGACATGAAGAGAGTAAGAATTCTAGGCATGGGAGACAGCCAGTGAAAGGAAAAATAAATATTGTCACACATCCTTCCATTGCTCCTCCGACAATTAATATTTAGAATCACTTGTCATCTTGGCATCATGGCTTCAGTTTCCTTTTTGATTGTGGTTTCCTGACTCTCCATAAGATGAAATCTCAAACTCATTTATTTAGCATTTGCTGTCTTCTCTCATAAGAATGGAAGCTCCCTGAGGTCAGGAATGACCTTGCTTGCCCATATTTGTATCCCCAGCCCTTAGTACACTGTCTGAAACATAGTAAGTCTTCCCCCCCTCCCCCAAGGCAGTTGGGGTTAAGTGACTTGCCCAGAATCACACAGCTAGTGTTATATGTCTGAGGTTGGATTTGAACTCAGGTCCTCCTGACTCCAGGGCTGGTGCTCTATCCACTGTGCCACCTAGCTTCCCCCAATAGTAAGTCTTAATACGTATCTATTAGTAATTTGGAGAATTCTTTTTATGTAGTTGTTGATAGTTTGAATTTCTTGTAAGAAATTTTTATCTTCATCCATTAACATTTATTTAATGGGGAATGACTCAGTCACATATTTGTGTCAACTCACTATATATCTTTCATATTAGACTTTGATCAATTATTTGATGCAGATTTCCCCTTCCCATCTGATAGTTCCTTTTCTTATTCAAACTGCATTGATTGTGTTCATCCAAAATCTTTTTAATTTCATGTAATTAAACTGTCAACTGTCTTTTAAAAATATTTCATTTCATTTTATTTTTAATTTATGTAATAAAACAAAGATTTCCATTACACAGTATAATTTTTTAAAAAGGTGAAACTACAGATCTATTATGGACAACTTCCTATTCCTTTTAAATATATAATAAAGTTATTATGTAAGTTTCTTTTTTTCCCCTTCCTCCCACCCAGCCCCACCCTCTCCTCCCCCCTAACCACCCCACCCCACTCAACTTCTCCTTCAGTTACACGCCCTAGAGATGGCTACCATTAGACATAAATATTGTCTTTTTTAAATCGTTTCTACCCCTTGTTTGGTTATAAATTCTATCAATGATAAAAGAAATTAGAAAGAAACTTGTTAACTTTTGAGGTACTTTCAGTTCTAAAAACTGAAAACGAAAGTACACAGGTCTGAAACTATATTATAAGCTTCTTAGCTTTTTCTACAGATGGCTATGTGGAAAAGTCAGCATTTGGAGCAAATCCAAATGAGTAAATATCTACTCACTTAGTACTTCTGGAAGTTATTTCTTTCCTTTCGCTCTATTTTTAAAATAATTTGACCTTTTACACTTATGGGGCTTATCTATTTGAGGCTTGCTATAACATATGTTGCGAAGTGCCCTTTTAGACTTTTGAGGTTGATAGGAGATGAGTAAGTAAAACAGAGAGTGAAGTCCAACCGAAGCTAACTGATAAGAGGACTCAGGACTTTGAGCTAGAAGGATCATCAGACATCGTTAGGGACAGGAGTGTCAATAGTTACCTGTAAGCTTGGGTTTGATTTGGGGACTGAAAGAAGCACTAAATAATAAACAAAAGGAGGTTTATTTAGCCCTAGCATAGCCAGAATATGCAAAAGGATACAGTGGCACTTTAGCTGCCCTAGACCCAACTATCTGCATCATGTCAAGTCAGCAAAGTAGGGTGTAATATCCCTTATTCTTTAGACATCAATCATGTCAGAGGGACCTAATTCCATGTAAGTGGGACTTTTTAATGTCCTTAGGTGATTAGAAAGATGCATTAAGTGATATAAAAGTATCTTTTAGGGAAAACTCATCCCTCTTTGGGGAGAAGAAGGAGTACCAGTAGATATCGGTCCTATCACAAAGGTTAATTCCTCATTTTACAGATGAAGTTAAGTCAAGTTCCTAAAGTCATACAGGTAGTAAGTAATTTCTCACTGAAAGTTCCACCACAAGGTAATAAGGAAAAGAAGAAATATCTCAGACACTAAAAACTCCTCAAAATTAAAAAAAAAAGTTAAAATAAAATAGAACTTAAAATTTTTTTTCTTTATTTTTTGCAACATGGCTAATATGGAAATATAATTGACATGACTTTACACGGACAATGGGTATCATATTGCTTATCTTCTCAATGGGTGGGTAAGAGGCTGGAGAGAGGGAGAGAATTTGGAACTCAAAATTTTTAAAAATGAATGTTAGACATTAAAAATTCATCATTTACCTGACTAGGGTAGGTTCAGAGAAGAAAATAAAGACAAGATAGTCTCTGATTATAGGAAAATATGTTATATACATGTTTATTATATATATATATATATATATATATATATATACACACACACACATACATATATACACATATAGAGAAAGAGATAAACATACTTACATATTACTGGGTTTTATCCCTATTCTTTTGGATTAATCATATCTTGATTTAAATTTTGAATGTCTATGGGAATAACATATTTTTCCTACGTCAGGTTTAGATTAAAAATATGGGCCCTTTGTGTAATTTTATTCCTGAAATTTGTAAAGGAGAGGGGGAAAAGTCTTTATATCCCTGAAAACTGACAGATGGAGGCAGGTAACTCTTTTTTGCCTAGATTAACAATACAAAGGAACCCCTGGCTGCCTGTGACAATGTCTGCCTCCCACCTCCCCACACTTCTACCCTAATCTCCCTCTCCTATTCATCTCCACTCTCATCAGATAAAGGAAATCCTAAGGTGTTTCAGTCCTAAAACTTTGCAGTTCAGTTACAGAGTAACTTTCTCCCCCACCCCCCCCACCCCCACCCCCATTCATTCCTCTTAGAAATCACGGGGCTGTTCAAACAGGGCAAAGTCCACTGAGGGCTCCAATGGAATCCACAAAGCAAACGCCAGAGAGGACATTAAGTGGAAACCCAGCCTAAAACTGAGGGGCCTGTCCATTCCAGACTGGATCCTGGGCTCAGCTGTTCTGGCTTGCAATGATGCCACTGGTGATGAGGTCTCCAGTGGCAGCTTTTATGACAGAGCTCCCTGGCTGGTTCCTGTTTTCTGGGATCTTTCTGCCCGTGACTCTGCTGCTGCTCCTTCTCATTGCTTACTTCAGAATCAAATTGATGGAGTGTAAGTGAAATACAATTCCAAAGGAGGGGGTGGGGTGGAAAAGAGCCTTGCTCAGCGACAAGTGACACCAGGCCAAAGCAATTAGCTCAGCTTCTGAGAGGACTAAGGGTACCTACAGTACCTACTTTGATTTGCAATTACTTTGCATTAAGCCCGTTTTCAGAATAGCTAGAAATTTAATGGAGCAGATTTTCAGAGTTTTAGAACAGGAGGTTTCTTAACCTGTTTTATGTCCTGGTCACCTTTTCAGAATAATTTTAAATGCCTAAAATAAAGTACATAGAGTTACAAGAGAAACCAATTATATTGAAATGAAGAGGATTTTTTTTCCTGATCTATCATGTTCATGGACTCCCTGAAATCTATCCATGGTTCTCAGAACCCGGGTTAAGAGCCCCTGTTTTAGAATATATTTCCTGAGGTGGAGGACTATGGCAGGGATTCGTTAACTGCTGAGACAAAGAAAAACAGAAAAGACAGACCACAAATCTCTAAACCTCCCAAGACAGAAGGGAATCTGTTGGTTAAAACACAAATCCTAGACAACCTAAGTTGCTTTTGGTTTAACCATAGGCATGTGTATTCCAGCACTGAAAATGAATATTTACCACACTGTAATTAAGGCTGGGACTGTGATTTGGCATGTTAGATAATATTAAAGGATAATGATGATGATGATAGTGATGATATTTTTTTTTTTGGTGAGGCAATTGAGGTTAAGTGACTTGCCCAGAGTCACACAGCTAATGAGCGTTATGTGTCAGAGGCTGGATGTGAACTCAGGTCCTCCTGAATCCAGGGCCAGGTGCTCTATCCACTGGACCACCTAGCTGCCCTAACGATGATGATAAAATGTAATAATGATAAATGCTGATTTATGATTTGGGAGGGACCTCAAAGACCATCTAGTCCAAACCCTTTGATTTTGTGAATGATAAGACAGCCTTAGTTCCAGGTAAACATTGAAAGCATTAGGGATGAGATCAGCTCATCAGGTTGTCTGATTGAAGAGTTGGTGCTTTTTCTACTGTGACACAGTACTTCTAAAACAAGGGGTCTTAATCTTAGTTCGTATCATGGACCTCCATTTTAAATAAATAAAATAAAATACATACGATTGCAAAGGAAAACTATTATATTGAAATGAAGATATAATTTTTTCATATCCAGGTTCATAGACTACTCTTAAATCTATTCACAGACTCCAGGGTAAAAACACAAACAGAATAGACATACGCATATTATGATAAACATTTTGGTCATAATTTGCTATAAATCCAGAATTTAGGATTAGGAGGAATTCATTCTTAAAACTTCCTAAGATGTGGGCAATCTGCCGTTAAAGTGTTAAAAAAAAATAATAACACTTCCTTAGTCTAAATGATATCTCCTGGTGAAAAATTATATTTCTTTACCTGGCATAGGAATATAAGAATTGCCTTAATTATTTAATTCTGTAGCATAAAATATAAACCTGAAATTCTGTAGCATAAAATATAAACCTGAAATTCTGTAGCATAAAATATAAACCTGAAATCTCAAGAGATGAGTAACCTAATTAAATCATAATTGAATATTACATTGAATATGCTCAAATATCTCCTTTGTCTTTCATTTTTATGTCTCATCTTTACAAGTGATTGTCTTGTTGAATAACCCATACAGATGCAACCAAACTGTGTATATTTGTGCTACCTTCTCCTCTTAGGCCACTTTGGGAATCTCTGTTCCCAAGACCATTCTGCTAAGTATTTAACCACCCAGCCATTCATTTTCATTGGGCTCTCTAGAACTGTGGAAAAAGGGAATAGAAAATAGAAAATACCAGTAGTTTCCCCCTCAGAACCCACCAAATCCATTTAATAGCTACATAGGGCAAACAGACTCATTTCTAAGTCCCTCCTTCAAAACTACTAAAATAGGAGCTATCAGTCATGTGCAGCCCAGTCTTCCTTGCATCTAGATGGCCCCAAGGAATGGTAAAAAGGATGAACATGTCACAGTCAATGACAATACTTTTATCTGTCCTAATTTTTTTTTCTCCAGCTGCCTCTTTGGCTAGATTAAAAAAAATACAAAAAACCCTCAGCCTCTCTAAAAACCTACCAAGCATTAAATAAGGCATACAACATGCCAAAATAGCCTTATGGACTTCAAGGTCACTGATCTCTGTGTGATGGTTAATATAGGTCAGCTAATTCAGTGTGACACTAGGGTGTTGGGGCTGAGACAGACAGGCCCTGCATATGACATTGAATCTTGGTTTTTACATCTTCCCCTGAATCTGAGCAACATAATGGGAGAAAAACCCTGTAATATGAAATACCACCTTCCCATAATGTTACTGTACTTTTACTTAGACAATTAATTACTGTTATAAACTCTAAAAGCATAGACCCTTCTGGATGCCCTGGATAATAGTAGGTATTGAAGGTTGCTGATGAGTGTGAAGGAAGGAATGAAGGAACGAAGGATTAAACACAACTATGAGCTAAGCAGGGTGCTGAGCACTTTACAAATATCTCATTTTTTCCTCACAACAACCCTGGTAGTTAAATGCTATTACTATATCTTCATTTTACACTTGGCAAAACTGAGGTAAAATGACCTGCTCAGTGTCACACAGCTAGTAAATGTATGAGGCTAGATTTGAACTCAGGAACTTCCTTACTACAAGCCCAGGGCTCTAGAGTGGACAGAAGAAGTACCACCTAGATGCCTCTAAATAAGGGGCAGGAAGGGGCAGCTAGGTGGCACAGTGGATAGAGCACCAGCCCTGGATTCAGGAGGACCTGAGTTCAAATCAGGCCTCAGACACATAACACTTACTAGCTGTGTGACCCTGGGCAAATCACTTAACCCCATTGCCTAAGGAAAAAAAAAATAATAAGGGGCAGGAAAGGGGTTGAAGTACTTGAATTACTGCAATCCAGGGAAAACATTGTGCGATCCTTTTCTTCTCACTTTTTAAATGTCTTTGTATTTATCAGGTTTGTATGTATTTTTGTGTAACACTGAGCAAGTCACTTAACCCTGTTTGCCTCAGTTTCCTCATCTGTAAAATCTGGAGAAGGAAATGGCAAACTGCTCTAGAATCTTTGCCAAGAAAACTCCAAATAGGGTCATGAACAGTCAAACGCCTGAGATGACTGAACAACAAGAATGCATTTTTTATATACCTACACATATGCATTTTGTCTTCTCTGGAGGAACTGTTAGCTCCTTGAGGGAAGGGAATTTTTTTTTTTTTTTGCTTTTTTGCTGTATGCCCAGCACCTAGCACAGGGCCTAGTAAATAATAAGTATTTATTAAATGCTTGCTGATTAACTGATTTGTAGAGCCACTAACCTAATTGATCCTTCTGCTTATCCTGGGGGCTAACTATGCCTAAATTTCTATCTCTTCCCATCTGCCAGACCTAGAGACAAGACACTCTCCCTCTCATCTGGTTGGTATATGCTATCCTGGAGTGCCATGTCTCAGTGACCTGGGGGAGTGGGGATCCCTGGAGTGAGGAGCATGAAATGAAGATGACACTGCTCTTGCCTCTGTACAAACCTGACGACTTTTTTACTTGCTCGCCTGGCCAAGAATACTGAAAGACCCCTCATGCCTGAGAGAGATCCTGGCTTAGGAGCTGGGACCTGTGCCCTGTGATATGGCTGGCCCCAGGGAAAAGACTTTTGCTCCTCAGGCTCATGGGGCCCTGGCTCACTTTGGAAATGTGAACTTCACAGGCAGGCAGTCAACTAGTATTTATTAAGCACTTATTATGTGCCTTAACACATTTTGCTAAGTTCTGGGTATATAATTCTAAGTAAAAAACAAAGATAGTCCCCACGTTCAAGGAGCTTAGATTCTAATGGGGAAGATAACACATAAAAGGAAGTCGTAAAATGGGATGAGGGATAAATAGTCAAGGGGCATAGTAGAGAAAACCTAGAATTCAGCCTGGAAAGAAATGAAATATGGCTAGCTTAGTTGCCCTTCTTAAATTGAAGTTCCGAGAGGAAACTTCCAATCAGAGGGAGAGGCTGGGGAAGAGGATTCCAGTGTGTGGATTCCAGCACAGGACTGAGGCTTCAAAATAAAGAGCTGGCCCATGATCGTGGCAGGGAAGCCAGAGGAGTGTCAAGTCAACAGAGCAGTGCGTTTCTGGAATGGATATCAAGAATAATCTTGACTAGCAGCACAGCAACGTTTCAGATGAATGATGGCTAGAAATGTCACACACTCAAAGTCATCTCTCCTCTTCTCTCTTTACTATATGGACCTAAGCAGTCTGTTGGCTTGAGGTGATTCACCTTGGGTGATTCATACTTAAAAAACAAAACAAAAACAATACACAAACCATTGTCCCCAGATGATTTGTTGTTTAGAACTCTTGACCTTTTATACTATGTCCCATCCAAACCAGACTCCTTGTCCTTAACTTGTCTCATGCCTTCCTTTCCCTATACTTTTTAAATTATTGAAATATGCCAGCTCAAATGCCATTTCCCTCAGGAAGTCTTTCCTGCCCCCATGTTGGACTGGCATAACACTCTGTTTGCATTCCACTATGCCTTCACTGAGGCAATATGGTATGATGGATAGCACAGAGATATTCTGATAAATGTTTAACAGCTGATTCTGCAGGAGGAGGGGAAGTACAAGTGGTACACTTTTAAACTTAATTTACATTATTAATATCTTCTCTATAGCTTCCTCAAGTCTAGAAATCAACTAAACAATAAATCAAGCACTGATTTGTAGCATTTGTTAATTTCTGGTGTGTAAATGCTCACACTAAACATTTACTAATCAGGCCCTGTCATTTGGGCAGGCTCCAGCATGCCACTGACACAGAGCCAGCCTTGGATACTAACAGCTAATGATAGTTAACATTTATACAGTGCCTACTATGTGATTGGCACTGTGCTAAGCACTTTGCAAATATTATATCTTTTGACTCAAAACAACCATTAAGAGACAGGTGCTATTATCATGCCCATTTCAC